AAACACTCTGAAGGTTTCATTTCTGCACTGTGATGGAGTAATTTGGTGTAGAGACACAGGCATAACCAACATATGAGATTTGATGACTTATTTGTCAAATGAGAAGTTTGTAGCTGCGATTGAAGCCGTCTTCACTCTGGCAGCTGATTTTGTTTTTAGCCATTCGGTGCAGTTTCTGCGCAGCCTCGGCTTCATACGTCTCTGCCTGGACTGTCAAAAGTGTTTCTGAGCATCTGTGTGAGCGCCACGATGTCTCGAACTACTACTTCCTGCTTTTTTTCTGTCTGATAGCTTTTCTCCGACCCTTTGGGCCTCCTCAGTCCTGTCGCTTCAGCCCTCCCGGAGCGTCAGTCACAGTGTGTCACATTGAAGGTCTTGAGGTTTGCGGCTTCAGTCCGGTTCTTCAAGTCTTTTTCTTACTTGAGCGTTTGCTGCAGCTCCTGGATCTCAAGATGAAATTTGTTGTTTCCAAACTGAGCTCAGCTGAACACTCCTCTGACTCTGAGACCTTCTGCATGTTTTTCTTTTATTTCCTTGAAGACACTCTGCGACTCCCACAGCCTTCAGTTGATCATTTTCACTTTCTTTTTTGTCTCTGTCGAGAGTCTCCACCTCCCCTTTTGTCACTTTGAGCTCTGCAAAGTTCCTGAGCTTTAGTTATGGTGGTTCTTCAAGTCCTTGAGCTTTCTGCATCTCATTCTTCACGTCCTCAATATTAAGACACGTGCCACTTGTTCTGTCTTCTCAGCTGAGAAGACTCCTGGATATCCAGCTAAACGGCCTCGGCGTCTCTGGAAAGGCCCCCGATCCCCTCCTGATAAATGTTCCAGAGGCCGGCGTATCTCTGGGTTTGCTTCTTAAACAAACAAAATTATACAAACGAGAACAAAGCATTGGAAACGGTTCATGGACTAAATGCTTAATCCAAACAATAATCAGCAGATTAAATGAAATAATTGGTTCCAGCCCGACGTGGTCGTCATCAAACACTTTAGAGCTGACACACAGTGAAGGGTTTGTTTGCCAGTTGTAGCAAATTTCCATCAGAGTTCACTGAAGAAGTCTCTTCTTCTTCTTCTTCTTCTTTGTCTTCTTCTTCTTCTTCTTCTTCTTTTTAATTCTAGTATCCTCTCTCTCTGAGTCCTAAATTACAGATGCTGCTGACCCGTCGGGTTTGTTTCGAGTCAAAAACAAACGAGTGTTCAAACAAATGATAAACTCATGTGTAGATTTTACACTGTGCATCCTCAGCTCCTTCTGGCCTTCTCGATGTTCTCACATCAACAGGAAACGGCTGAGCTGTGGCCGCAGAGATAACTCTGTTGTTTTATATTTGTTTTCCTTTTTCCACAAATTCCACCAGCAAACCCCGACCAACACCACCATCGTCTTTCTGACTCGTTTACTGTTTGCAACATTGAGCCCACTGGCTGTTACAGAGAGAAAAGTCTTTAAAAGCATCTCATGAGCTCATAGATCAAGGCTCAGTCATTTCCTGCAAACATGCTGTGGTTTAATCAAGGAAGGAGGGAATCTGGTGAATACGGCATTAGCTGAAAAAGATGTGTTTTCGATTGTTTTCTTGTTTGTCGTGTGACGGGAAAACAATCACTCTGATGGCTGTGAAGGTTCTCAGTCATCCAGGTCATCGTAGTCTTCTTTGCAAGCTCCAATCACTCTGATGCATGTGAAGAAAGAAGCGCAGGTTTTTCTCTCATATTCTCCTGAAATGTTGTTTCCTTGCAGTGACATGTACTTGTACTGTGTTCACAGCGCTGCCACTCCAAATGTGTGAGCGAGGCCACCTTCTACAGACTCGTGCAGTCTTTTGCAGTTGTGCTATTTGAGTAAGTAAACACGGTCCAACTGTAACTTTTTTCACTGTGAACTTGAGCCATCATTTTGAATAAGTGGTCATGTGACATTATAAGTTTTTAGCAGAGCTGGAAGCAAAGCTGC